GGGTTCAGTATAATACTGAACTTGAGACTTAACATCGCTGGATAGAAATAGACTACAAGTTCACAGTCCTGTAATCCCCGAAGCTTTGGAAACGCAAAGCTTCTTAACTCCTTGGGTGCTTTCTGTTTCATGGGACCTCTCTACAGCGGCGGTCCCAGCTGAGTACCACCGTTGGAAAGGGAGAACACTTTCGGAACTTGGGAGCCTTCCAGTCAGGTGACTGAGCGCTAACCAGTACTAGGGAGTACTTTCTGCCTCAAAACAAAGTGCTTAGGGAGCTATGAGGCATAGCCGTAAGGCTTCAGGTCCTTAGCGGCCTCTCTTGAGAGAGTCCTTTATAGAGCCGTCAAGCCTTCCCACTCTTCCCTGAGCCCACTGCTCTCTTCGGCTGGGAGGGCTGTTTTAGTAGCACACTGGACTCCTAATGTCAGCTGAGTGGGAAACAACTCGAGGTGGGGTGCGAGTGAAGGTGAAGCAGCATCATGACCGTCAGGTGAAAGGTAGATGAGATGGACACATCTTGGATAAGAAAAGGTAGAAAGGGAACCTCTATGTGCCTTAGGGTAGTGGAATTAACACTGAAAATGCTAATCCCTGTCCTGAGCCTGCTCAGTATATACTCTTGCCACAGACCTGCTGGGATTTCATTATTGTTTTGTCACTGTTGGTAGCTTGCTTAGTGCTACTAAATTCAGGTAACAGTGGACTGCCTGCCTTAGGGTATTGTATTCACATTTGAATCCCAAGCCAGCTATGGTATCTATAAGCTCTGTATCTTCAAATTCATCTGGGGACAGGTATTTGGCCTAGCGGTTAAGATGCCAGTTGGGACACCTGCATCCCACATCAGAGTCCTTGGGTTTGAGTTTGGGCTCCTAACTCAACTTTCTGCTAATGCAGACCCTCAGGTACTTGGGTCCCAGCCACCCACATAGGAAGCCTGGATTGAATTCTAAATTCCCAGCTTCAGCTCAGCCCAGTCCAATCCCGGATGTTGCACACATCTGGGCAATAAGCCAGTGGATTCAGGAGCTGTCTGTCTTGTGCCTCTTTTGTCTGTCAAATGAAACAACCAGAAACTTCATTTTTAGGGAGATATTGCAGGTGCAACATGCTGAAGTACAAAATCACCCTTTGACATCAGCTTTTACATCTGAGTATGATGATACGGTTCTGTGTTTGACTATGTAGGTATGAACTCAGTGTTTTTGTCTCACTGTGACTTGACCTTTGGTAACTAAAATCAGCTCCCCAGTGCCTTTCAGCCCTCCGTGGATCCCCGCTGCAGCCCCAGTACTCTTCCCAAGCATATTCATAGCCATGCTCTCTGACTTTATATTTCTATTTTAGTGCTCAGAGTAGATTCTTATCACTCCAGTTGACCTCAAAGGCAGTGAGGAAACTGAACTCAGCAAACAGCCTCTGGAAACGTGCACCCCAGCATGGAGAACATGCACAGTACTTGCGTGTTAAGAAGACAGAGGCAGTGGAGCAGAGGGGAAGAGACAGGCAGGTGCCTCCTGTCGGCAGTCCAAAGGGAAGCCTTTAGCCTAGCGGTTAAGACACCTGTATCCCGTGTCAGAGTGCCTGGGTGGAATATCTCACTCCAGCTTCCTGTTACTACAGACTCTGGGAGACAAGGGGGATGCCCCAACTAATTGGGTTCCTGCCACTGAGGTGGCGGGATCTCATTTGAGCTCCTGACTCCCGACTTCAGCCGGGCCCCGTCCTGGCCAGTGCAGGCATTTGGAGAGTAAACCAGCAGATAGGAAAATGCTTTCTCTGTCTCTCTAGTAAATACATTAAATGGTTAAATTATCGTAGTTTGGCACACACAAAAAAGACTGAAATCCTTGCACAGTTTTTCATAGCATGTATTTTGCAACAACTTTTTGATTACCCACTATATGCACGGATTTCAAATGCTTTTTACAAAAAAAAGAAAAAACCCCTTATTTCAAAATTCCATTTTCAACAAAACTTTAGAAGTCCCCTTGTATAAAGACAAACAGGTGGTGCTTCCTAATAGCCATCACCACACTCCTCTTGTTCTCTATTCCAAATTCCTGGTATCTTACATGTAGATTGAATAAATATTCTGGAACATAGATAGAAAGTGCCCTTAAGCCATACTGCTCTGTAGCTGGGTCCTAGCTTGGCTAGTCTTCGGGGAGGAGAATGGTAGATAGTAGCTCAGAAGGTGATCACATCTGTGTGGTAATCCTGATTCATACCAAATCAGAATCTTGCTGGGAATTCATCACAAAGCACAGAATGCTTCCAGACAGCAGGGAGGAGCTGATGCGAGGGAGACCAACTGCAGTATTGTGCACGCAACACAAGCGTCCCAGTCTGTGCTAGTCTCTGTATTATCCCTTCTTACGCCAGCAGGCCACAGCTGCAGAGGCTGAAAGGTGGCAGGAAATCGCGAGACTTCTGCCTACAAACCTCTGCGTAATCAACCCCAACTGTAAGAGTCTACTGGTTTTCTTGAGAACTTGTGTACATTTGCTTTGAGCAACCACATCTGTGTCATTTGTCTCGTATCTCAAAGAAATCGCACTCTCCAAAGGGACATCACTGTGAATGATAAGAGACACCTGCCCAGTAGCTGTGCCAGGCACAAACTGAGTGTCCTGCTTAACAAGTCTTAGTTCATACTGTTGTGTGACTTAAATCTCCAAACACTGAGCCTGGGAAAACCGGCAAAAACCAGGTCTGTGTCTCCACCACAAAATTAGAAATGATCTCCCTTTGCCTCTTAACTATCTATACTTGCTTGACACTTTTAATTTTTCTTGGAGCTGTCTTGCAAATGTGGTTTTCCAACTAGAAGTCAGTTTCTTTTTTATTTTTTAATTTTTTTTGACAGGCAGAGTGGACAGTGAGAGAGAGAGACAGAGAGAAAGGTCTTCCTTTTGCAGTTGGTTCACCCTTCAATGGCCGCCGCAGCCGGCACGCTGCGGCCGGCGCATCGTGCTGATCCGATGGCAGGAGCCAGGTACCTATCCTGGTCTCCCATGGGGTGCAGGGCCCAAGCACTTGGGCCATCCTCCACTGCACTCCCTGGCCACAGCAGAGAGCTGTCCTGGAAGAGGGGCAACTGGGACAGAATCCGGTGCCCCGACCAGGACTAGAACCCGGTGTGCCGGCGCCGCAAGGCGGAGGATTAGCCTAGTGAGCCGCGGCGCCGGCCAAGACGTCAGTTTCTAAGATGTGGAACCGTGTGTTAAACCTCAGTTTGTACCCTCGCCTTGCTGCCCGTTTATTTTGCTTGTAATGGGAACATTATTCATGAATAATAGTAGGGATGTGGGCAAGAAACCCAGTAAGGGACTAGGATTTGGCTGTGTGATTATTGCAACACAAGAGGCTGAAACAAACGAGAGCTGAGTCCCTGGGTAGATGTAATACCCTTTTGGACAGAGTGCAATCTGGGTTCCTTCTATCTTGGCTCCCCTGGCCTGAGATCATTCTTCCAGCCACCACGCCTAATTTCAGACAAAATAAAAGGAAAGAAATGAGGCTTCTGTGTTTTTTAACAGTACAGTCATGGCATTGCTTAGTGATGGGGATATGTTCTGAGAAGTGAGTCATTTGGTGATTTTGCCATTGTGTGAACATCATAGAGTATACTTACATGAACCTAGATGGTGTAGCCTATTACACACCTTGGCTGCATGGCACAGCCTGCTGTTACTAGGCTACAAAGTTGGGCAGTTTCCATACTAAACACTGCAGGCAGTTGTAACAGTGGTGTTTGTAAACATCCCTAGACATAAAAAGTACAATAAAAATGAAGTATATAAATAGAAAATACAGTCCACTTGTATAGGGCACTTCCCATCCAGGGAGCTTGCGGGACAGGAAGTGTCCCTGGGGGATTCAGCAGGAGTTCAACGTGATCTCCTGTATGTAGGCTACTGTAGACTTCACCCACTGCAAACCTAGGGTACCCTCAATTTATATATTTAAAAAAAAACTTCTAGTAAATGAACTTTGACTGATAGTAACTTCTTACCTTATAAGCCTTACAATTTTTTTGGCCTTTTGATGCTAATAAAAACTTGGCTTGAAACACAAAAACACTGTCAAGCTGCACAAAAAGATTTTCTACTTTCTAGCCTTATTTTATAAATTATATTCTATTTCTAACCATTGCTACTTTTTAAAACTCTGTGTTTAAAAACTCACTCACACACACACTGGGCCTCGGCCTCTACAGAGACAGGATTGTGCATCCCGCTGTCTTCTGTGTCCACATCTGTCCCACCGGCTGGTCCTCAGGAGAAAGCACAGGCAGGGAGCCATCGCCTGTGCTAACCAGGCCTTCACCTCCTGAACAGCCTGCCAGACATGGTTCTGGAGCAGGTGTTGTGCTTTTCACAACCGTGTCCATGGTGGTTTGCTTAGTGTCTGTTTTCATAGATGTACATACAAACTGATATTGTACCATGAACTCTGCTCTTCAGTAATGGTAGCCTTAGAACTTATTGAGGCCTGCAGAAGTTTCTGCTAACCCTTCGCAGTGAGTTCTCTTGGGGGTTCTTTGTTTTCTCATGCAGTTTGCTTCACTCCTACCTGTTCTTCAGCCATGCATTCCCAAGGCACTAGGAATCTTTCAGCTCTGTTATAACCCGGTGGTACCATGGATGCCTATGCAGTCCATCGTGACCAAAGTCTCGTTAATGCAACTCTGCTTCCTAGAATTTGTGTGTTACCATTGCTGTTTCCATTCCATAAGCCAGAACTTAGTCTCTTGGCTATCCCTCCCTGCAAAAGAGGATGGGAAATCTAGTGTCTAGCCGTAGCATGTGCCCAGCCAGGCGCTCAGTGACTGTCAGTTGCTGCCTCAAGACCCTCCCAGCTCTGGCCCCCAGCCTGCCAAGTCTGCAGCCGGCCCTCTGAGAGGGTCGCTCCCCACGGGGCTGGAGTAACTTGGCTCTCTAACTCATCACCCTCTTGTGTTTACTTTGCTAAGTGTTCCTTCCTGATTCTAGGGAGAAAAACCAAGTGCGAAGCTTCCCAATTCCAGTGCACCAATGGCCGCTGCATTACTCAGCTGTGGAAATGTGATGGCGATGAAGACTGTGTGGATGGCAGTGATGAAAAGAACTGTGGTGAGTGCAACGTGTGCTAATCTCACTTGCCACCTGCCTTGCACTTACACATTTTATTGAAATACGATGATGTTATCTTGGTTTCTGCAAATGTTCCGATATTCTGCAAATAAACTCCATTCCTAAGAAACACTGTGAACCCGAGTCCAAAGAATCTCTACTTCCTGGTCCAGAGGGATATCATTGGATGTCTGATGCAAGGTTATCAACTGGAGCATGGAATGTTGCAGGCAGAGTTCCTTTCAAATGACAGGACCTGGTTTATCTTAGATCAGGCAAACATGTGGTCTAGGAAGCTGGGGGAAGGGTTGGGGAGGACCAGAAATAGAGGCACACAGAGAACTGCTTAGAAGTGACTTTTTTAAAAAAAAATTCTCAAATGGTTCTGATCCCAGAAATCAAAGAAAGCATGGACACCACAAAGCCCCCTACAATTTCAGAGCGTTGATTAACCCCTGACATGGAAACGACAAGCCAGCACAGATCAAAGGTCAGATAAGGATTCTTTTTATAGTTCTCTGTCTACAATAGTGGCTAATTCTAAAGCCTTCCCAAGAGAATAGGAATCTAACCTCATAGCCATTGATCAGCATCTATCACAAGATCCCTGTGAGAAATGCCTGTGTCTGCAGTCTCTGTAGCCTCATGTCAAGGTCACATTTAGGTACCTTGAATACGTGCTGAAGTTTGCCTATGACCCTTTTGTCCTTTGTTGTACAAATCCTGCCACAGTGTTGTGTGTGACTATCGGTGCTAGCACTGTCATGACTTTTTGAAAGATGTTAAATGCAGATATTCACTATAGAAACTAGAACTACAAAGGCCAAGTAGGAGCGAAATGTAGGTTCCGTCACCGGCCATCTTCTCTGCCCTTATATACTTCACGTATCATTACAATGCCTCATGTCTCTGAGCGATACCATGTTTGTTTCCATGCCGATATGCAGATCAGGAGCTCTTTCAGAATCATAAAAAACCCATTCCACAGTCTCGGGGAAGAAACTTATTTCCAGCCTCAGGACCAAGAATAGTTCTCGTGTGCAATCATTTGCATTTTTAACACCAAGATTTTAATCTATTCCACAAGACATTGAGTTCCATGCTATTTCTGGGTTACCTAGGTGATGTGGTTCTCTCACTCAGGGTTTCACTGGAAGGTCCTCATTCTTGTTAACTCTTCTCTTGGGGGAGCCATCCCTCCTCTATTCTGAACTGTGTATTTGCAAAATGCATTTCTTTTTCTACAAAGTCATTCTCTTCATGCTGTGGAAGTCTTCTTTTATCATCAAACCAAGTCAGTAGAAAATGTCCTGGGTCATCGCTGACTTCTTCTGGAGTAGCCTTTGCCCAGACACCCTCTGCTGGTCACATGATAGGGGAGTTTTAAAAGAGAAGGAGGTGGGCATGCACTACATTAAGTCATTCAAAGTGGGGAAAGCCAGATAGGTAAGTGTGCTGTAGAATATTTGTGGAAAACGGAATTAAAAGATTTATTGATCATGGTGCAAAAGAATTTGACATCCATGTTTCATTTTTCATAATATCTATTGCCCATGAGGTTCAAAAGACCCCTTCTAGTCACGTTGCTGCCTCCCAGGAGTGAGGGGAGAGGGGGAAGTGGAAGCATCACTCAGCGAAGCTCTAAGTGCGGATTCTGGGATGTCCCCTCTATGAAACAAAAGCTACACAATTGCTGAAAACCTCCAAAGCCACCTCCTATTTTTTCTAACCCTTTGATATGGAATCTGCTTACAGTTTTCACTGGGCCCCTTCTTTTAAGGTTTTATGTATTTGAAAGGCAGAGTTACAGTCAGAGAGAGAGAGAGAGACAGAAAGATCTTCCCTCCATTCTTTCACTCCCCAAAGGGCTGCAACAGCCAGAACTGGACCGATCTGAAGCCAGGAGCTTCCTCAGGGTCTCCCTTGTGGATGCAGGGTCCATCTTCTGCGGCTTTCCCAGGCCATGGCAGAGAGCTGGATCGGAAGTGGAGCAGCAGGGACACAAACTGGCGGCCATGTGGGATGCTATTGCTGCAGGCTGGGGCTTAGCCTACTGTGCCACAGCGCCGGCCCCCTGCTCCTTCTTGAAAGCACATCAACTTGACTTAGATTCCATAAGCTGTGTGCTTCTATTGGTCCCAATAACTCATTCTTTCCTAAGTGTGAGGCTGAGCTGCTTATTCTGTAACTTGGATGTCTTCAGTATGTCACTGGCAGTTCTCTTCCTCGGTGGCACATCCAGATTTTTACCCATTTCTTACCCTCCCAGTTTCTCTGCAGATGAGAGAGAGATGAACTCCCAAGTTTTGTCTGTCCTAATTTGCTTTGCTCACTTGTTTTAGGGCCTTTCTTTCACATCCTCGTGACATTTTCTGCTATGTAACATCATGCAGTCTCCTTATAATTCGTTCCCATACTGTCTTTGCAACTTCTGAAGAATACCAAAGACTTCAATTAAAGCAGCTAACCTCTGGCCTCTTCCTCCACACTCCCAGAACACAGGGTTTAGACAGCACTAAATCCGTTAACACTGGGGTCTGAGCATTTGGGTGATTTTAGAAACAGGTATGAATCTAAGAGTGAATGTGGCCTTTCTTGTTTCCTTGGCTACACAATTCAAGGAAATGAATAATGCTTTGTGAATCATCCAACTTCGTCAGTGTCATCTCGAGTTCTAGACCCTGACTATCATCACAATCTCTTCACTATTTTAAGCTACACCATAGAGTTCTTCCCGGGTTAAATCCCTAACTTTGTAAATCTTCAGCAAAATGTACACTTGTAACCGAATTGCCGTCACTCAGTATCTGTGTGAGAATATTTTCAGAGGAAATTCAGGTGGGAAGAACAGGCACACGGGCAAGGAAGAAGATCTGACAAAGACAAGCCTAGGGAAGCCTGTGTGGCTACTTTGGCAACACCCTTCCAGCTTGGACAGTGTAATTTGTTGTATTATAACCATAAATGTAGGGGAAAGGCCTGCCCCAGGAAGAATTAGCAGTGGGATGAATACCTTGCCTTAGGCTGTTTTAATGCTAGAGTTATGGATGTTAGCCCTGGCAGCTTCAGTACCTTTCCGCTGGCTGATGTTAGCCAACCCTGTGGCTGGAAGGGCTCAATTGTCATCTGCCTTGAATTCTAAGTACACCTATCTCTTTACACTTGCCTTTAAGTCACCTCCTTTTCCTACTGGGTGCCTTCCTGTGCCTGAGCACACTGCTGGGAGCGGCCCTACTTGATATTGGAGTTTGGTCTTCTGTAGCTATATTAAATAGATGGGTTCAGTTGCCCTTAGAAGAGGGTCTTGATGAGTTTACCTTGCTGTAAGAAAAAATACAAGAGACCGGATAACTTAAATACCAGAAATTTATTTCTCATAGTTCTGTAGGCAGGGAAGTCCAAGATCAAGGTGCCAGCAGATCGGATGTCCGTGGAGGACTCTTCCTAGTACATAGACGGCCTCACATGGTGCAGAACAGAAAGCAAGCAAGCAAGCTCTCATGTTCTTTTCATAAAGGCGCTAATCCTGTTCATGAGGGCTTCCCCCTTCTCAAAACCCCTGCGTCTAATCCTATCACACCGAGAGCTAGGATTTCAACATGTGAACTTGGGGTGGAAACATTTAGTCCATAACAAACAGGATACTATGACCTCGCCAGAGGTTGGGGTGTTTGGCTCTTTTACTGCTGTGGTTGGATCATGGTTTGTCCCCTCTGAAACTCACGTTGAAATATGACTTCCTGTGTGATGGTGCTGAGAGGCAGTGGAATATTTAAGAAGTGATTGGATTCCTGAGAAGCACTAAGGATCAGGTTAGCTACTGTGAGAGCAGATTGTTTTATCTCTTCCATATACCGCTGCTTTCCATTCCACTTTACCACCATGGCATTGCACAGCACAGAGCCCTCACCAGAAGCTCAGTAGATGCTGGCACATGCTCTCGTACATCTCAGCCTTCAGCCTTGAGAGCCAAAATAAACTTTATGAATTATCTGTTCTAGCAAAGGAAAATGGACTATAAAACTTACAAAGTACTTGAGTGACCTGGAAGAAATTCAGAAAGAGAATTCAACTGTTACTTAATCTCTCAACATTACAAAAAAAAAAAAAAAAAAGAAGTTGATTGTCAGGTATCCCGAGTTTGTAAAATAATGGGCCATCTTTGTCTGATGGGGCCACCTTGGTCTTGGCTTGACTTTAGTATCCTTCAAGTCTCTCAAATGAATGGTTTCCTCCTCTGGAACAAAAAGAATGTTTTTTTCTCCCAAATTGTCCTAGATTTTGCCAGTTGGATAACCATCAACTCAGCTTTAGTTTTAGAGGACAACACACTAAAATGTAGTTTTAGCTCTGATGTGAAGGGAGTAGGTCTCTTGTGTGGGTGACTTCAAGTTTAATCCTCTAAATAAACTTTTGTAGTAAAGAAGACATGTGCTGAGTCGGATTTTGTGTGCAACAATGGCCAGTGTATTCCCAATCGATGGCAGTGCGACGGGGATCCTGACTGTGAAGATGGTTCTGATGAAAGCCCAGAGCAGTGCCGTGAGTGTGACTTGCTTTGGACTTCAACTTTCCCAAGTCATCGTTGTGTGTCTCATTTTTCTAAGCACTGTTGTATTTACTACCTGGTGTTGGTTTTCCTTTGCCTGCCTTAAGGTTTAGGCCAATTGACTCCAAGGTCAGTTGAGTTATTAACAGTTGATTAGTCTCCTTTAAAGAATGTTCTCCCTGGTCTAACAAGACTGACATTCTCTTGGGTAGCTTCAATATTGGATATTTAAGACTGAAGCCAGCAGATTTGATTAAGAACTCCTTGACTAGGTGCATAGATTTCAAATGTTGGGTAATAATGACTCTGAGCAGATGGTACTCTGGTCCTGGAAGCTAAGTCAAATTGTGAAGGTTCCCTATGGGACAAATGAAAGCTTTTAGAAGCAAAGATTCCCATTTTATGAGAAAGCTATTACTGAATAGGTAAAGTGTCTAATAATAGGGTGATTTGGTGATTTTAACAAGCATGCAACCTACAGTTACTAAAACAATAGGTATACATATGAATGTTTCTGTCCTTGGGTGAATCTACAGTCAAAAGTCTATGAGGCCATTAAGGATGATGGTTTGGGATCATGTAAGTTAAAGTCATTTGCATGTCAACCTAAAGAAAGTCTTAGAGTTCTTTTTGAGGCAATCTCTAGAGGATTGTTGAAGTGCTTAAAGAGGAGGGGTACCATGAAAAAAGTTTTGACCAGAATGTAATTATAAATGAAAATAAAGCAGGAAAGAAGACAAGGCTGTTACTTTCAATTTTCTAGGTAAGAAGTCAGGGTGTAGTTGTAATGTTAATCAAGTCAGGTGAGTTAAAGACCTGTGAATTAAGAGAGAGTCTATAAAAGATTCAGCCTCAAGTTTTAGTGGAGAATGATCTGGTGAAGTTGAGAATTAGGGCATGTCCCTACTCTGCAAGATGTAAATATTAGGAGATGAGGAGGGAGGCTTACAAAGGAATTCAGGCGGTGGAAGATTTCATAAGTGTTAGATCAGCTGGCCTTTAAAGAATTTGGGATTAGGTGATAATGTCTGCATATGGCCACTTGATATCCAACAGATAAATAATGGTCCAGGAGCAGGCCAGCCAGCAAACTTTACTGTGCCAAGTAAAACAAAAGCCAGAACTGAGCACGCCGTGGAACCTTGAAGGGGTGACATGGTCAAGGCTCTTGGGTGCACTGCCAGGTGGCATAGATTGGCAAGGCTTCTAAAGAGTGGAGCTGCTGAGGGATCTCCCCAGGCCTGGAGTAGGCGAGGCAGATCTCATCAGGGTCCAGGCCACTGAGCTACAGGTGTTACCACCTCCAGGCAGCACAGGGAGTCACCAGTTTTGAGGCTCTTTTGAGACTGTATATCATCAACAGATATGAGAACATGCCGCATAAATGAAATCAGCTGTGGCGCCCGTTCTACTCAGTGCATCCCAGTGTCCTGGAGATGTGATGGTGAAAGTGATTGTGACAGTGGAGAAGATGAAGAAAACTGTGGTAAGAAGATCAGTGTTGAATGGCATTTCCCAAAGACCCTTTTCCCCCCAGAAAGGCGGGCAGGGGAAGCCGACTTCAGCATGAAGACACAGTTGCCTTGACTCAATTTTCAGTACCTTCACTATCTGCTCAATGACCTGTCCTCATAACAGCTCAAAAACTCTGAAAGATGCTCACATAGTGACTGACCATTGCTTGGTGTTTCTTTTAGGCAAATAAAAAGAAGAAGGTAAGTGCATCAAGGTATCTACATGTAGAAGTAGCTCAGTGAAGCAGCACTCGTGTAGGCTTTTGTCTCTGTTAGGACAGTAATTCATGGGCCTTCCTCAGGTTGGCTCAATAAAACTAGAAGGTATTCATAATCCAAACTAGACTGGCACATTGCAATAAATTACTTGAGTATCAAACAAGCTTTTCTTATCCCCCAATGTTGTAAAATTTGCAAAAGTTCAATTGGCACAGAAGCAGGAATTAACATCTTGCTAGGAACTGCTCCCAAGAAAAGCCTACCCAACCTTTGTCTCCTGTCACAGAAAGCTAACTCTGTTTCCTATTCTTTCATGTTTCTCTTCCTGGAAAATCTATAATAAAGTGTTACATGTCAAAGGTGAGGCCCTGGGAAAATCTCTAGGTTGAACAAACATTGCTTTCAATGCTCTTTCAAGCTACCGCCCTTTTTATAGGGCCTCTAAAATCTACAGCTCCCAAGTGTGACGAGCGTGGGCCTCCTGACACAGTAGGATACGAGGGAGCTCAGGAACTTTACAGGTGAAACACCAGTCTTGGACGTAGAAGTCACCTCCTTTGAGGTCAATACCACTGCACCTAGTCTAATGAGTTTTAGTGTTCAGTCCTAGAGTTGAGCTTTATGGATTGGCAAGCCCTGGAGCTGCCAAGTGTTTCCCATGTAAATCTAGTCTTTGCTTCCCAAGAGAGTCCTGGTCTCCATCCTAATTGCCACCATATTGTGACCTTAATATGTTTGGCAGGACTTAAAGTACAAACTGGCTAGTATGAATAGCTTATCGTTATTAGCATACCTGGTTGCTGGATTGTGATGTTAGCCCTAGGAGTGATTTTTGAAAAATGCTAAGTGTTTAAGTGTTTATTTCTGATCTTCGTTTAAAGGACCAAAAAGGAAGAGCCATGTATGGTGGCATGTGGCTTGCTTCTTTTTGTTGATAGTGTCCTAATGCTTGTTTTATTTTTATTTTTATTTTTTATTTTTTGACAGGCAGAGTGGATAGTGAGAGAGAGAGACAGAGAGAAAGGTCTTCCTTTTGCCGTTGGTTCACCCTCCAATGGCCACCACGGCTGGCGCACCACGCTGATCCGAGGGCAGGAGCCAGGTGCTTATCCTGGTCTCCCATGGGGTGCAGGGCCCAAGTACTCGGGTCATCCTCCACTGCCTTCCCGGGCCACAGCAGAGAGCTGGCCTGGAAGAGGGGCAACCGGGACAGAATCCGGCACCCCGACCGGGACTAGAACCCGGTGTGCCGGCGCCACTAGGTGGAGGATTAGCCTAGTGAGCCGTGGCGCCGGCCCTAATGCTTGTTTTATGAGGGATCTTCAAAAGTTCATGGACAGTATATATTATGAAAAGCTTATGCATGAATTTCAAACAATTTACACCATGGTAAACATTTCTTACTTCCATTTCCATGTACTTGTTGAAGTACCTTCATATTATCTCACCTGTTTACCTAATGCATGGTACTCTCAGCTAGTGAGAGAATCTGACCTAACCAGCAGCATGCTGATAATAGGGATAGCACAGTCTCTGCCTTCCACAATGAATTCTCTTGTTATTATTTGTTATGGATCACTGTCCCTTTATGAGTTAATTGTGGTTCTCATCGAGTCTTCAACTATTTTCTTGGTTCAGTATTTCCAGTTTTAACTTATTTACAATGTGCCTGCTTTTTTTTTTTTTTTTAACACGGTGAGGCTGTTTGCTAACATTCCAAGAACTTGTTCTTCATATCACTCCACTTTAGCTTTTAAGTTAAACTAGGAAGATAAGAGTAATGGTCAAAAATCGGTAGATTGGATTTGGGGCTAAGAGTCTTGCGGGGACCAGTCTTGATGTGTTTTCCATGGGACCTCCTCTCTCTTGCTAGGCAATGTAACGTGCAGCTCTGACGAGTTCACTTGCTCCAGCGGCCGCTGCATCTCCAGGAACTTTGTGTGCAATGGGCAGGACGACTGCAGCGATGGCAGCGATGAGCTTGACTGTGCCCCGCCCACCTGCGGCGCCCACGAGTTCCAGTGCAGCACCTCCTCGTGCATCCCCATCAGCTGGGTGTGCGACGACGACGCGGACTGCTCCGACCAGTCCGATGAATCCCTGGAGCAGTGTGGCCGCCAGCCCGTGATCCACACCAAGTGCCCTGCCAGCGAGATCCAGTGTGGCTCCGGCGAATGCATCCACAAGAAGTGGCGATGCGACGGCGACCCTGACTGCAAGGATGGTAGCGATGAGGTCAACTGTCGTAAGTAGCTCTGTCGTCGGCATGGCTCGTTTGGTTGTCTTCCACGTGTCAACCGGAGAGGGCGTGGCTGGCTTCATCCCGTGGTGTTCCCTCCCATTGTAGCTTCTCGAACCTGCCGACCTGACCAATTCGAATGCGAGGATGGTAGCTGCATCCATGGCAGCAGGCAGTGTAACGGTATCCGCGACTGTGTCGATGGTTCGGATGAAGTCAACTGCAAGAACGGTGAGTCTCTTCTCATCCTTTAGGAAAGGGGCAGCTGCTCCGATCAGATCCACTAAGACAGTTTGCTTCTGTGTTTCTCTTTGTAGTCAACCAGTGCCTGGGCCCTGGCAAGTTCAAGTGCAGAAGTGGGGAATGCATAGATATCAGCAAAGTGTGTAACCAGGAGCAGGACTGCAGGGACTGGAGTGATGAGCCCCTGAAAGAGTGCCGTAAGTGAAGGGCTGCCCAGGCCGTGGAGCTGGGCCCTTGGATGGGATCCAGCGCACCCCATGTTGGGAGCTTGTGGGATGCCTGGTCAAATGTTCAGTGAATTAACCTGCAATCATTAGGTTTAAGAATAAGATTTTATGGCTTAATAACCCAGGGAGTTGCAAACTAGTTCATTACTGACCTTCCTTAAAGTTAACTAGTCAACCTCAGAGAAACTTGAACAAACACTGCTTTACAAACTGCTCATTTGCCAAAAAGATAGGGTGCATGCCTTCCTCAGTCCTGAGATGTGCATCTGTAGAACAAATGGTTAAGTCTTAGAAAACGTGGGGGTTTGATCAGGCCAGCTAGGTAAGTTATCACAAACAATATGTATTTGAAATGTGAATAAGACAGATATTGACTGGGAATACCTTGGCACATGACTTCACTGCATTTTTGTTCCAGATGTAAACGAATGCTTGGTCAATAATGGTGGATGTTCCCATATCTGCAAGGACTCGGTTATAGGCTACGAATGTGACTGTGCGGCTGGGTTTGAACTCATAGATAGGAAAACCTGCGGAGGTGAGTGCGAGAAGAGAAGCTGACCCCGCAGGGTGTTGGGAAAGGGCAGTCTCTATCTAGTAAGGTATAGGAACAGCAAGACTAATTGTAATTTCCCTCCTAGATATTGACGAATGCCAAAATCCGGGAATCTGCAGTCAAATTTGTATCAACTTAAAAGGCGGTTACAAGTGTGAATGTAGTCGTGGCTATCAAATGGATCTTGCCACTGGCGTGTGCAAGGCAGTAGGTAAATGGACTTGGGCTGGTGTTGCACTGGTACCTTTATGAGTAAGTGCTTATAAAAGGTACAGCCAGTGACTACAATAATCAAATAGTATTTGAGAGCAGGGCTACTAACCTCCTGGTGCAGTAGTACAGGTTATAAAGCAGACTGTGCCCCAAACACTTGCCTGCCTTGGTCCTTCCTTTTGCATATGAATACGTGGGAGAGTTTCAGGCTTTCTGCTTCCGAAACATGAGTGCAATTTACATAGCTTGCTCATCAGCCACTTTGCTGTGGAATGCGGTGACCTGGGGACAGCCTTCCTGAAGAGTGGGAAGCCCTTGCGAGTCCCAGGGCAGGAACTCCAGGATGGGTAGCGCTGTGTGTCCAGCACTGCCTTTATTTCTGAAGTGCTCCTCCGCTAAGAGGAGGTGACTTAGAAGGACCTTCCCTTCTTGCAGCCAAACGCAGTAAACCTGACTCCTGTCTTGCAGGCAAAGAGCCAAGTCTGATCTTCACTAATAGAAGAGACATCCGCAAGATTGGCTTAGAGAGAAAAGAATACATCCAACTGGTTGAGCAGCTGCGAAACACCGTGGCTCTTGATGCTGATATTGCAGCTCAGAAACTGTTCTGGGCTGACGTCAGCCAGAAGGCCATCTTCAGGTAACTTGCACTTCCGTTCTTGCTGTCTTGGCGTAAGTCTTGGGCACTTGCCCTGTGGGAAGGTTTGGAGCAGTTTCTCTTGGCTGTGGCTCCAAGCTAGCAACTAAGTACCCGGGAATATGAAATCTAATGCAGATTCTTCCATTATAAATTTCTCTCAGTTCCTAATTAGAAACTAACCACTGTTGACGAAGTAAAATCTGGCTACAGCCGTCACGCCCTAACAGATCGTCATTCCTCATATTTTCTCCCATTTCTCTAGAGTTAGTTGAGAACTTTCCACTATTACTACAAATAGAAGTGGGATTGAATGCTATTTCTTAATAGGAACTGTTGAGACTCAGATGTGTTGTTACTGAAACAAATAGTTTCACTTAGAATTTTGTTGTGCCTGAGTATAGAATATTTATCAGCGACTAGATACCTTGTGATATTACTGGCTTAGCATCAGTGAGAAGCATGGTTAAAAAACATGTGTGATGAGCTATGGTATTCTAATAGTCCTTTCTACACAAAGTCATTGACCATTTTGCAAGCAAAATGTCCGTTCTCTTGGCTCTAATGGTGACAAACTCTTAAATGTTTTGTGACCTATTCTGTTTCAGTGCCTCAATTGATGACAAGGTTGGTAGACATGTAAAAATGATCGACAATGTCTATAATCCTGCAGCCATTGCTGTTGATTGGGTGTACAAGACCATCTACTGGACTGATGCGGCTTCTAGGACTATTTCAGTAGCCACCCTAGACGGAGCCAAGAGGAAGTTCCTGTTTAACTCTGACTTGCGAGAGCCTGCCTCCATAGCCGTGGACCCACTGTCTGGGTTTGTATTTCGTGTTTTCTGTCGCTTAGCCCTTAGGATGTTATCTGTATAGGTCAGGGGCTTTCTTCATACATGAATTATTCCTAAACCCTCAAGACTTTTTAGTACCTGCCCCACAGAGACAGTAGTACCACAGCTGAGTGACCCTGGGACGGCCTCATCTATATGACAGGTCCTGCTTGTCTGACTCCCATATGTCTGACTTCTGCTTGACATTAATGAAACAACCTTTCTGGTTTGATGTGTACCAAAAGCTATATCTGGACCCTTATGCCCACCCAGCTTCCATGCAAGTGATATTTTTGTCTGAACACCTGGCTGGGTTAACTCTGCACAATCAAACCTGAATAGCGGCCGGTGCCATGGCTCACTAGGCTAATCCTCTGCCTTGTGGCACCGGCACACCGGGTTCTAGTCCCAGTCGGGGCGCCGGATTCTGTCCTGGTTGCCCCTCTTCCAGGCCAGCTCTCTGCTGTGGCCAGGGAGTGCAGTGGAGGATGGCCCAAGTGCTTGGGCCCTGCACCCCATGAGAGACCAGGATAAGCACCTGGCTCCTGCCTTTGGATCAGCACGGTGCGCCGGCCGCGGCGGCCATTAGAGGGTGAACCAACAATAAAGGAAGACCTTTCTCTCTGTCTCTCTATCTCACTGTCCACTCTGCCTGTCAAAAACAAACAAGAACCTGAATAGCAGCATAAAGAGTAGGGATTTTGAAAACTATTCAACAATTTCACTTAAAAGTACACATTTTCTGAAAGTCCCATTAATACCAACAGACCTTTCTAGAAACATTGCACTGAAGGGTGTCCCTGAATTGCTACTAAGTAACAGGGAAAGGCAGGCAAGGGAGTTGATCAAGGCTACAGTCATCCCAGTTGGCCCCCATGAAGCCTCGGTAGAGTACAGGCAGGCAGCCCTTACTGTAAACCTTAGAGATTAGTCATCTCTCAGGCCTTGTAAAGAATTGGCCTTTAAAAAAGAAAACAACATAATGCCTTATGACTGTGGGCTAAAATTTTTATGTTCAACTGATACTGATGAATACAGTTACTAGTGAGCTTGTAGATTCTTAGTGTTAAATTTTATTTACCCAGAATATAACTTAGATCCTTGAGTGTTACATATTTGTCTCTACAGACATTCAGTCCCTAGAACTTTCTGCTCATTCTTTAGGCTTTTCTTGCAAGCTACACCTTATTCCTTCTAAACCACTAAGGCTTATTATTTCTCATCAAATTCTTTCTAGATTTGTTTACTGGTCAGACTGGGGTGAACCAGCTAAAATAGAAAAAGCAGGAATGAATGGATTTGATAGACGCCCACTGGTGACAGTGGACATCCAATGGCCCAATGGAATTACACTGGGTACGTAAGTGCTTCCTTCTCTGTCGCCACTTCCGCTGTCTTCATTCATCTCCAGGGTTAGTTCTGGACTACCACAGACGATTCTTCTGGTTCCTCCCATGAGGGTAATTCTAAAAGTTCATGGAAAAAACTGTGAGAAGGTAAGTATTTTGGTGCAAAGAAAATTGAAATCCTTGCATGGTTTCTTTCATACTATGCATTTTTCATGAACTTTTGGATATACCCCTGTGTAATGGCAACTATGAGTGAGAGCAAGTGAATAACACAAGTAGAACAGTACAGTTAACAAGTTACATGCTCCATCATTACTGGCCTGTTGCCCATAGGGGCTTTATATATTTCAAATTCAGTCTTAGGAGACTCATACTAAATACCTCAGGCACCTCTAAAACTTTTCTTCTAGTTTATCTGAGGAGAACAACAAAATAACCCACTTCTTCTACTTCCTGTCGGCTCACATGTCTGAAGTCAGTTACCCTGTGAATCTTAGTTACCATTAGTTCCCCCCGAATTGAATGTAAGTTCAGACTGCTTCCCAGGGTTCGTGGGAACCCTCCCCACCCTACCCTGGCTCATTGGGAACTTTTGCTGGAGAAGGAACCATGAACATGAAAATAGAATATTCTCTTGCCTTAGCTATTTTAAATGGAAGCCAGAGCTATAATGGCTTATCATACAGTGTCAATTCTTCTCCTACCTAGACCTCATCAAAAGCCGCCTCTACTGGCTGGATTCCAAGTTGCACATGTTATCGAGTGTGGATTTAAATGGCCAAGACCGCAGGATAGTACTCAAGTCTCTGGAGTTCCTAGCTCATCCTCTGGCACTAACAATTTTCGAGGTAAGATGAGTGTCTCACATCTAACTGTACACCTTTGACTTTGCCAACGTGCTACACATTTTGAGGAGAAAGAATGGATGTTGGGGAAGGAGGGTAGGGAAAGGGAAAATGACTTAAAAAATGGTTTACACGTAAAACCTGGGAGAAACTAGATATACGAATTGCTTGAAGTACTTCAAGAAGCCCAGACTTACTCTTCTTACAGCTTTACATCTAATGTCCAAGATCAATACCCAAAAACACAGTCCTCTACTGGCCAGTGAATAGCAATCATCTTAGATAATGACTTCATCTTAAGTGTACATGCTAATTGGGGGGGGTTCTGTTTTAGGATCGTGTCTACTGGATAGATGGGGAAAACGAAGCAGTCTATGGTGCCAATAAGTTCACTGGATCAGAACTGGCCACTCTAGTCAACAACCTTAATGATGCCCAAGACATCATTGTGTATCATGAACTTGTGCAGCCATCAGGTAATGTGCAGGAGCCCTGTCCTGGATGACACTGTAAGGGCACAGCATGACTCAGAAGCAGCAACTCAACTTCCACAGGGAATCGTTGCCTCCTGTAGCCCTCCTCAGACATGCCACACCTGGGCTCTGGCATCTTTCACTTACGTCTTAACCCAAAGGGCTTCACAACTTGAGATGTGATCTTCCTTCTAGCCCTAAGTGTCACAGCTTTTATTGGGTTTGTAGGTGGCCGGGTGCTCCCTATGTCTACTCGTGTCGTCTTCCCTCTATAGATGTTTGTGTCCAGGTCTCTTCTTGAGAGGACACAAGTCATTTTGGATTAGGGCACATCCTAAGGGGCTTATTTCAACTTGATCTCCTCTGTAACTATCCTGCCTCCAAATAAGGTGACATTCTTAGTTCTTCAACATGTGAACACTAGGGTGGAACACCATTCAGCCCTGATGTTTACATCTCCTTGTGACACAGCTTATATAGGATTGTGCAGATTCTTAGAAACATCTCGTCATATTGTGCCATACTCAAGTTGCCTGGCTGGTCTAAGCAGTCTTCTTAGACTTCTCTGTAACTGAGTCTGCTTCTGCTTTATAGGAGCAAGGCGAGACAAAGCCAGGAGAACTAAGTTTCTGTCTTTTGAACCTTCCCTGTAAGCCTTGAACAGTAATGACACTCCCCTGCTTGCATTTGCTGTAGTCAGAAGTTACAGTCTGCCTCGAAGCACTGTCTTTGAACCTGGTGTCCTTAGCACATGCTACCTGCTATTCATTAGTCAAGAACTGCATTGAAGTTATGACAGAACAGACAGGTCTGAATTCCTTAGGACATAAGGAAAGATTCAAGTTTGCACCACTTAGAGCAAGGTTCTATCTACAGTGCTGTTGGATACCTATTCTTAAGGACTTTTTTTTTTTTTTTTTGACTAGGTAAAAACTGGTGTGAGGAAGACATGGAGAATGGAGGGTGTGAATACCTATGCCTGCCAGCTCCACAGATTAATGAGCACTCTCCAAAGTATACCTGTTCCTGTCCCAATGGGTACCACCTAGAGGAAAATGGCCGAGAATGCCAAAGTAAGGACTTTCTTGTTTTAATCGCAAGCAAAACATACAGCAGGCAATGTGATAAGACACTAGCTATGAAATTTAAGAATTCTGTTTTAACTAACACTTAAAATAGATTTGAGAACGTATCTGTTACTGTTGCATGTCATCTGTTCATGTCAAATACTTCAGAACTCACTTTTATCCCACTTCAACATTAGATAAGTTTATAGATGACCAAAGTGTCAATATTTGTCATATGTATTGGTTCCAGTTTAGTCCTGAAAAAGCAGTTAGCTAGCCAACTTACAGATAATTAAACAGTGTGAAGATTTTCCTGCAAAGAGGATAGAGTGAATTATGCTTCAGGAACATAGGGACAACAAACTTCATGGCCTCAGTGGATGACACCCGCTTACTTGAGTTTTCTGGTCTTAGCTTTTGATTCAATGGCAAATTAAATTTGCTTGTTCTGATCAAGGAACCCACATGGTCAGGTTTTCTTTCACTTCATTCTGGGTCCATGGCAGGGACTAGTTCACTTGACAGAGACAGTAGTTGCAAGACAGTCTGGTGTGCCTGGTCTACCAGGGCATCCTGAGAACATTTCTAGTAACTTCCAGGAGCCTCGATATTTAGGGGGATCATCAGTGTGGCTGTGCATCTGTTTGAACTGTCAAATTCCAAATGCTGACTGTTCTGCCCCAAGTTTGATGTATCTCTGTTTTGGTGTGAGACTGCCGTATCTCTCAGTTTTGATACACCCACCATGTAACTTAGTTCAGCAGTGGTTTGTGTATTTCCCCTGGTTTGAAAATAACCTTTTGCATGGCTTGTCTGAACTGAACAGTTAGCCACTCTGGAACCTTGGCATTAACCAGGTTCTTGGTTTTTATAATTCAGGTACTGCAACTACTGTGACTTACAGTGAGACAAAAGATACCAACACTACAGAAATTTCACCAACTAGTGGACTAGTTCCTGGAGGTATTGGGTTCAGTACTGCAAACTGTTAATCTCAACTAACAGCCACACTCTTTGTATCTATAGCTTAAAAATTAATGCGGCCTTAACTCTTAGTTCTGCCCCGACTGATAACCTGTATTTAAACTCCAAAGACTCAGAACCTGCATATCTTAGCCTGACCTGACTTATTAAGGTTTATGCTAGATGATTGTTAGTGAATGGCTATTCCAGTATGTGACTGAAGTGCTTCAGTGCTAGAGTTTGTCCTGTATACACTTTTAATAGATGCTGAACACTGATACTGGGTACAAGGTGTGAGGCTCTCTAAGGATGGGTAAAATTACTAAGTCTGAATTTAGGTCATTGTAAACCGATTCCTTATATTCCCCTGTAGAGATCAATGTGACCACGGCAGTCTCAGAAGTCAGTGTTCCCCCAAAAGGGACTTCCGCTGCCTGGGCCATCCTTCCTCTCTGTGAGTAGATCCCCTCTACATCCCTGTCTCATCAGCTGCTTCGATACTAGATGGATATTTCCAATTTCGCACAATGCCCTACAGTAGCCCTTGTGACACTCAGTTACACTCACCCCCTCCCCAACATGGTACACTCATTCAAGGGTCCAGGCCTTCCTCCCCAACATGGTACACTCATTCAAGGGTCCAGGCCTTCCTCTTGAGTGCTGGCCTTAGCTCAGTATCTGGCAGGAATAAATGTTCACATGAATGGTGCCTCCTGCTTTCTACTTAAGTGTTGTTAGCCTGGCTTATCCGCTTTCATAGTAAGTCAGTTAACTAGAGTACTGTTCCCTTTCCCTTTAAGATATGTATAATGCCATGGTGGGTGTCTGGTGCACCGGGGATGCCCACATCCCATGTCAGAGTGCCTGGTGCATGTCTTGGCTCCTCTGCTTCTGATCTGTCTCCCTGCAAGACCTCCCTGTGTACCCTGGAAGGCAGTGAATGGGGGCTCAAATATTAGGTCTCTACCACCAATTTCCAACCCAGGGTGAAGGACCTCTAAGGCTGTTATCAAACCTGTGAATTTGTAGGCGCTCAGCTACACACCAAACCTGAATAATTCTCCAGAAGCTTCTGCCATTTTAATTCAGGCAGCACCACTGAGTTCAACCTCCTGACTACTGATATCCCAACTTCAACTTCCAGTTATCCTAACCTCATAAAACATGGAACCTTATTAATGCCAGTTATTGTGGATTGCTGCACATTGCCTTGTTTTGCATGTTCTCAAACTAGACCCCACTCAGTCACCTCTGACCTCTCTCAGTGCTCTTAGCGATGGCAGCAGTGGGTGGCTACTTGATGTGGCGGAACTGGCAACACAAGAACATGAAAAGCATGAACTTTGACAATCCTGTGTACTTGAAGACCACGGAAGAGGACCTCTCCATTGACATCGGCAGACACAGTGCTTCTGTTGGACACACGTACCCAGCAGTAAGTCCACTTTCTGTCTTTGCATGCCTTGGCTTGAAGTGAGAGCTGTGAGAGGGGGAACCACTAACCCGAGCCGTGGCTAACGGGGCTGGGAAGAGCCCTTGGGATCTCGGCGTTACCACACACTTCATCTGCCACCTGAATTGTGGACAGTCTAGCCCACACAGGTCAGCGCACTGATAAGCATCCAGCCCACACAGAATGACAGATAGGCCATGGCAGGGCTGGTGGTGTGGTGCGGTGGGTTGAGCTGCTGCCTGTGACACTGGCATCACGTATCGGGAGTCCCCATTTGAGTCCCAACTGTTCTGTTTCCGATCCGGCTCCCTGTAAACAGGCCTGGGAAAGCAGTGGAAGGTGGCCTAAGTGCTTGGATGCCTTCCACTCATATGAAAGACCAGGATGGAGTTCCTGGCACCTAGCTTTGGCCTGGCCCAACCCCAGCTGTGTGGCCATTTGGGAAATGAACCAGCAGATGGAAGATCTCTGTCTCTCTCTGTCCCTGTCACTTTGACTTTCAAATAAATAAATCTTTAAAAAAAAATAGGTCAAGGTCCTCACAGTACTATTTGAACTATTTGTGGTTACTGAAATGACATGTAAATAGCAGCATGAACCAAGAAGCTCCCTTTTGAACTGGGAAATCTGTTGCCTACTCTTGTCTAATTTAATTTTAATTAAATTAGCATATCACATATAGGGGAGCTGTATTAAAAGCAGTGTACTAACATTCACTTAGCCAAAATTACTAAATGCTTTACTCAGAAAGCATCCCATCCCACCGAGAAAAGCTTTGTGTCAGCCACAGTTAATCGCTTCTTCCGATGAAAAGCAAATGAGTTTTTGGCCATCACTAGGAAACAGGCCGGACAAAACAAGTGCTAAGCCCTCATCTCTGAAACCCTCTGAAACCTGGGGCAGTGGTTAGTTCCTGGCACACGTGTGTTTTCACATTTTTCTCCAAGACTTACAATCCCTATGTAGAGCAGTCAGAATCAGGCATGCTCTTTTCTCTCTACTAAATAGGTATAAGCTGACTACCTCTTATCCAAGGTGTTCCAAATTTGGACTGTTTTTTTGGATTTGGGAATATTTGTATGTGTACACATACATTCATTGAGAAATACAAAAAATTAGATTGCTTAGGGATAGGACCCAAGTCTAAGATGAAATTCACTATGTTTTACATATATATTATATATCTGTATATATGTTTTACATATATAATATACATATTATATATACACCTATATACATATTACATATATAATATACATATTATACATATATGTCTTATATGCACCACCTGAAGATCATCTCATGTGATATTTTTAGTGCACCTGTGTTTTGACTGTGTGCCATCACATGAAGTCAGATGTGCAATTTTCTACTTGTGGTATCATGTCAGTGTTTCAAATGTTTCATATTTTGGAGCCTTTTGGATTTCAGATTTTTGGGCTGCAGTTGTTCAGCCTCTGTGACTGAATTCAAGTTAAATGCCTGAACGATGCAATTAATACTATTTTGTTTCTGACACACCTTCTAAGTACTCTGGATCTTTGAATGACCGACTCGAAAGCAAAGTCCCTTGCAGAGACCAGGCTCATTCTGTACTTTCTCTTTTCTGCAGATATCAGTTGTAAGCACAGATGATGATCTAGCTTGACTCCTGTTCATGACCTCTGAGGTCTAACCCAGTAACACCCCCTCTCCGGAACGGTAACCGGGCCAGCAGCTGAAGTCTCTTTCTTCCTGCCATCTGGAAGAACGTCAAGATATCTTTGCGTGGATCAAGCTTGTGTACTTGACCGTTTTTATATTACTTTTGTAAATATCCTTGCCCACATGCTACTTCAGCTTTGGATATGGTTACCAAGTATCTGTAATCTATGAATTTCTAGACAGTATTGCCGCCTCTGGCCAAATATGCACTTTCCCTAGAAAGCCATATTCCAGCAATGAAACTTGTGCTATAGTGTACACCACTGTACATACAGTGTATAGGCCACCTGTAAATACTCCAGAGAACAATCACTATTCTTAAGCACTTTGAAAATATTTCTATGTAAATTATTGTAAACTTTTTCAATGGTTGGGACAATGGCAATAGGATAAAACGGGTTACTAAGATGAAATTGCCAAAAAAAATTTGTAAACTAATTTTGTACGTATAAATGAACTCTTTGACCTCAAAGGAGGTTTACAAAGACTGAGTGTTCAAACTACTGTATATTTCTTCTTTTCAAGTGCTCAAACATTAAACCAAGCAGTGTAACCATGGTTTGTGCCTATTCCTCTAGGGTGAAGTCCTCGAACGGCCTGAATAGTATGGAATGTTCTCTCTCAGTGTATGAGCTGTCACTCCTGACATTGTATAAACCTGTCATTGGGCTAGTTTCTCTTACAACCAAGTACTAACAAAAGAACGAGGTACCAGTTGACATTTGGTTGTTATAAAAAGGCTCCAGGGTCTTATTTCGCGAAAGTTTAGTTTAGTCTGTATCTAGAATTCCTCTTGCGTGGGAGAGAATTCCTTTCTTTGTTAACATGTTTCCTAATGTGGAAATATATGCTCTGATTTCTATGAATTCTACTTCTTCGTGCTTAAGTCTGTGTGTTCCATGTTCTGTCATTACATGCAGGTCAAGGACAAGTGCCTTCTAAGGCATGGGAAAAGGGTTTGTTCTTCGGAATGTCTAGACTAGCTTACCAGGAAGGGTGGCTAGGGAAGATAGCAGGTGGCAGCATTCTGGCGCCATCGGAGGCAGTGGTTCTCAATGTACTCCAAGGCACAGCAGCAACTGCATCACCTGAGAGCTTGCTAGAAAACCTAAGTGTGCAGGCAGACCCCTTCCCAGACCCGAATCAGAAACCCTGGGGGTGGCACCCAGGTCTGTATTTTCAGGTCATACTGAGGTTTCTAAATAACTAAGGTTTGAAAAACACTGTATGAGCTCCTCTATTTTTGGGCTAAGATAAATGATGGATTCCTTCTGTGGACAGTTTCTGGAACTTTTGAGTGTGAAGAACAGAAAAGGAATTGAAATAGAAGAAAAAGTGGAGTGGGTAGTTGAACGAGTTTTCCATCTGTCTGGGCATCCCTTCCTTCCCATGTAGCCTCAGGATCCCTGGAAGCAAGGGAGGTGGGGTGCACCACGGAAGGTTGGTGATTCCCCTGGGACTGATGCAGTAGCCAGGTAATAAAAAGATGCTGTGAGTAGTTAAGTGGATTGGTAGATGACTCAGAATTCACTTGTGTATGGAATGTAAGGCAGTTGAAAGTTTGCTCCTGACCAAGAGAAGGAGCCCAGTAACCCTAAATGAAAGGCAAGTTGTTTCTGTCATCTTACCTGATGGATGCCCCCTGGTGATTGAGGACAAAGGGTCAAAGAGAAAGGATAAGCTTGGGCCTTGTTTGTTTTGTCCACAGAAGGTATGGAGGTCGAGCGTAGAGAAGGAAGAGGCTGTAATCATCAAGGTAGGACTGCCTACTTTCACCTCTCTCTTGTGCTACAAATAGTCACACTGAACAGTGAACCCACTCAGTGCGGTCTGCCAACACACAGAGACTCAAGTGCGCACTTGGTAAGTGACACAGCATTCGCCAGATCTAAACTCTGTAGGCCATTTGTTGCCCTGCTGTGGTACAAAAATCATTGTTGGCTTTTTTAAATTGGAATAATACGAGATGCCCTGTTAGGTTAGACACCAGCACTTGCTGCCACGATAAGGACCATACGGTGTCCATCAACCATCTGGCCCACAGTCACATGTCTACCAGTAAAGCAATATTTGCCATCATTGTATTCTGGGTTCCAGTCCCTAGTGTGTTCTTACAGATTCTGGGTACTAATTTCCAATCCCCAAAGAGTCTACAGCATCTCCTTTTGGAATCTTGTTTTCCCCACTAAGAAGCCAAGGTAGAATGCATTGCACCTGCCTTAAGAGCTACAAACTCACTTGGAGAAACAAACGAACCTGATGTGTCTACTGAGATAAGAGTATTTATCCAGCCAGAGTGCTGTCCGCTTGGCTCAGCAATATCGTTCCCGAGGGACCACCGCCTGGGCTTTATTACCCAAACAAGAACGTAAAGAATGCCGGGTGAAATGCGCTGGAGCGGGTCTGCCGTGTCCCGAGAGTTTAATGTCGCGGGAGAGAGTTAAGAGGTAGAGTACAGAGCTCAGCAAGGACTACAGCAGATATTTAGAGCTGAATGAGCCTGTTACACAAAGTGACTGGAAGTGGGCTCTCCAGAACCATAAGAGATTGCTGCAGAGGGTTGATGAGAGAGGAATAAACAAATTGGTAGTCTCCGGTAAAGAAATCCAGCCATGTTCCTGTGTTGTACCTTTGTAGGTGGGTTCTGCAAGCTATCTGCTTGGCAAAAAATTAGTCCCAGCTGTTCAGCTGGCTCCCTAAGAGCATTCTTAGAACTGCTTGAAAGGTTAGTATCAATGTTAAGTCTTTGAGTATTGATGAGCACGCAACCAAGAAGCGGGAGCCTTTAACTACGGGACTCGCTTCTGTTGCTTTTCTGATGGCATTAGCTGTCAGAGAGCCCTCATGGAGGACGAGAAGGCAGGCTCTCACCCTGAAAGCACAGGGCAGGCCCAGCACTGCCGCCTGGGTTCCCAGCACTGGGACAACGGGAGACCTATCTAAAGCCTGCCTGTGAGCTATCCTCACTGCAAGCCACCAGATTCTGGTGGGGTTTCCTCTTGCAAAAGGGGTCTAACTGAAGTTTTTTTCCCAGGACTGTTACCCACGAAGATTTTATTCAGTGAAACACTTTGGAGCCCAAACAGAAGCTATACCCTTTCCTTTTCATGGTGATGAAGCCTGCAGAAAGCACAGATGCTTCTGCTGACTCAGGTCCAAGGGCAGAGAGTGCAAGCTGCCATTTTTGACCCTGACCTTGAGCCCTTCAGCTTCATCACCCAGTGTTTCCCACTGAGTCTTTGGGAAAAAGAATTTTTTTTTCTCATGCTGCTCTTTCTGCTTCTGTCACCTCATAGACCTGGACTGTAGGGGTTCAGGAATACAGAAAAATAGAAATGCTTTTGGGGTAATTGTTTCCACATGCGGTGCAAGGAGGGTAACAATGAAATAAGGACCAATTTTAGATTTCTCTCCAAGTCAGAATGGAAGTTTCCAGGTCAGATAACTTCATGGGAAGGATCATCACTTGCCTTTGCATACACTTCATTCACGGCCACCTTCACACATGAAAGGCTGACTACGAATTAGCAGAAGGGCCCGGATGAGAGACTCAGGGGTCCTTAGACAAGCTACTGAGACCCGTATTAAAGTAGTGGCCCATCTCTCCATGGTGTAGCATTTTGGGGCCTGGCTCGCCTAAGAAACAGGGGAACCATGCCTGACAATTCTACCTATGGACACTGAGGCTGGAGCAAGACAGGCTGAGAGCAGCGGGTTCGGGGCTCTGTGCCTTCCCTAGTGCTACATCCAAAATGGTTTGCTTCTTCGGCGTGCTTCAGGGAAAAGTCAGGTGGCTGGTGGAGTAGGTCTATCGAGAAATAGTAGGCAGCATAGTTAACAGCGTGGGCGGGCGACTGAGCCCTTTTGTACAACAGTACAATAGTAATGACACGGGCTCTGTCTCCCTGTGACGAGGCCACAGCGAGGGAGAGGCACACAGAGCCCAGCAGGTGCAGGGCCTACATCTCGCCTCAATGTCACTGTCCCGCAAGGCCTCTGCATCTCCTCTCCTCTGGGGCAGCCCAGGATCTGGTAGGTGACATCCCTGCGAGAATTACAGGAACTCACCTCCCTGTTGAGTGTAAAGTGCCTTCAGTCCTCTCTCCCTGACTAAGGAGGTCAAAGCTGCAGTTTCTGGAGTGCCATCAGATTGTGCAGTAAGAAGGCTTAAGCATGATATGGGTGAAGCCTTAGAAATATAGCCGGTATGGTAGGGATCCCCCTCAGCTTTTGCCATCTCTCTGTGTCATCTTGAGACAGACATTTGGGGGCCTGTAGAGTTTCTGGAGGGTTCCAAAGCACTTCAAGTCTCCCTTATCTTCTTACCATGTACTCAATGGCATGCCCGATAAATTCTCTCATGTCCTGTAGTTGATCTAATGAGAACGCTAACAGGTAAGTTTCATCTCCGTAACTGATTCCAAATCCTATGTGTTAGTACTGCCCTCCCCTCCCCTAGAAGAGGAGGCAGTGCTGTGCGAAGGCTAGGCTGGGTGTCACATCCTGTGTTTGCTGAGCCCTTCTACCACTAACTGCGATACTTCAGCAGTTTCTGAGACACCCCTTCCAATACAGGGAGGCGTGGAAGCGAATCTCATGCTAGCACCACCACAGCAGGTCAGCACAGAGCAACTCAGTTCTCTGTCACACTTTCAAGATGCTAGGCAGTCCCGGTTTTCCTTGGCCATCCAAGTGAAGTCAAACTATCCTATCAGATTGCAAACAACAAAGATTCCCTTGGGGAGTTTGTAGACAGGTAGCATCATTCCTCTTCATAAGGTATTGGGGAAAACAAGCTGTAACACGATGATTCTTAAGTTTTAAGGCTCTCCTAAAGGGAGGGACATGGCCGTGGTGACGGGAAGAACTGTGCCTTGTCTACTGAGTTATGATGCTGTTACTCTGGGATTGGAACTTAGGTATTCTAGAATCTACCCCGAGCCCTGGGTATTTTTCAATTTTCACACATGCACAAGAGAAAAAGTATTATTTGAACAAAATAACTGGCTTTCAGAAAACCATCTTGCCCTCTCTAAATGTCATTTGAAACTAAAATGTGATTTAGGAGCATGTAACGCCTCGGGAGTCAGGTGCATACAACCAAATGGTCAGGCTCAGGGGCTTCGGGATTCAAAAGGCACACGTGGGGATACATTCAGTCCTGCTGACCTGTACATAAACATTTTTCCTTTTATTAACAAACTGTACATGTAACTTAAATAAAAGTTTATTTTTGAAATTATTGGCGTGAGCCTTTCTTTCTAGAAACTTTTCATGGAATCTTTTCACTCAAATCTATCTCATCTGAATCATGGGAGACCCAGTCACTTCCTTTTTGGGAAATGATAAAAATCCCAGGCTCTGGATTCATCAGGCCAGAGGAATGAGCACCTCCCCCATCTTCTGCCTTACATAGCAAGACAACGCCTCACCCTAGGCAGTGTGTGACCCTCTCCACTCCCCTATCCCTCCCCCTCCTAGGAAGGAAACAAAACCGAAGGCTGCTGCTATCAATGACTGTTTGTGCACGTCTTCCAGCCTGTGCACAATTGCGAACAGGCGATACCTGGCTAAGGCGGGGTGCTGGAGGCTATGGGACAAGACAGGCCTGGACAGACCTGTCAAATCCTATTGATGCTCTCCCCTCATCAGCACGTAAAGGGTCCAAGCTGAGACACATTTATAGAAGGCTGCATCCTTGTGAGCCTTCAGAATACTCCACCTGAAGCTTCCCTAAGTAATGGTCTCTAATTATTTGGATTACATTGGATGCTAAGTGTTGAGTTTGATTCAGGTGATCCAAAAGAGTATTAAGAAAATCAAGGAAAGAAAATAGATTGAGAAAAATCTCAAAGTTTAGCAATTGGGTCCTTAAGGAATTGGCCATTGAGTTTTGGAGAGGCTGAGCTTCCTGGCTTTGCAGTGACCAGGATGTAAGTTTCGCTGTTCTACTTAGCCAGCTGTGGCCATGGCTGACTCATGTAGCCTGTTAGTCTCTGTCCTTGTCTGAAAAATCAAAGCAGTCACCTCCACAGGGAGACCACAAACACAGAGTGCCTCCCAGGGTGGGCGTGTGGCACCGCAGGGCGGTGCAGTCACCACTTCAGACACCCACATCCCATACCTGAGCTCTGCTCTGCTTCCAATCCAGCTTCCTGCTGATGCGCACCCTGGGCACAACAGAGGATGGGTCAAGTACTCGGGCCTCTGTCACACATGTGGGAGACACAAGAGTTCTGGGCTCCTGGCCTAGCCCTGGCTATGGTGGGCATCTGGACAGTGAACCAGCAGATGAGAAGGTGTCTCTCTGCCATTCAAATAAAATAATTCACTCGAGGAACAACTGCTATTTTCCTGCTAGCACCAAAAATCATCATGATTCCTTTTTTAAGAAAAGTTAAAATCCTTGACTTTTGTTCATTTGGGGATCTTTGTTCTATAGCTGCGCATTAAAATCCCATTTGCAAGTATGCCTTGTTAAATTTGCCCTTGAAATGTTAGCATTTGGTAATCTTTTAAAGTCCAAAGCATCAAGGAGATTAATCGTCCTGCACCCATTAGCTTTGTAGAAGCCTCCTATGTGTGACCTTCTGCTGATTAAACAGCACAGGTGATTGGCTTCCAGTCACCAATTAGCCAAAGGGGGCTTTTTAATCAGCCGGGGAAGACAGGTTAGACTCTGCACCCCTCAAGAAGGTGAACTTAGCAAGCTCTTTGGGTTTATTGTGCTTAGCAAATGTAATTGGCTCATCATCTAGGACACACTGAAGAATGCTAAATTGTGGGTCTGAAGATCTACTGAATGCTGCATTCTGATTCAGAGGGCAGAGGTGCCTTTTCATCTCTTAGCTGCTGATTGTATGTTTTTTATTTTTTATTTATTTATTTATTTTTTGGACAGGCAGAGTGGACAGTGAGACAGAGAGAAAGGTCTTCCTTTTGCCGTTGGTTTATCCTCCAATGGCTGCCACAGCCGGCGCACCGCGCTGATCCGAAGCCAGGAGCCAGGTGCTTCTCCTGGTCTCCCATGCGGGTGCAGGACCCAAGCATTTGGGCCATCCTCCACTGCACTCCCGGGCCACAGCAGAGAGCTGGCCTGGAAGAGGGGCAACCGGGACAGAATCCGGTGCCCCGACCGGGACTAGAACCCGGTGTGCTGGTGCCGCAGGCAGAGGATTAGCCTATGGAGCCGAGGCGCCAGCCTGATTGTATGTTCTTAAATTCACCCATTTACATATGAGACAGGCTCAAGATTAGTTCTCTAAAGCTGAATGCCGATTCCCCTTCTGGCCTGGTTCCCTAGGAAGGACTTCATCATGCTGGAGGATGGTTGTAGATGACTAGATAGTAGTTGGCATTCCTCCCTGGGTCTCAGAAGACTTAGCCTTCCTAAAAGCTTCCATGATGATTTTATAATTGACATGTCCTAGAGTGAACACCAGTTTGGGGAAACATGCAAGCGTTTCCTGAGTTTTAGTGAACCTGATCAAGGACACGGACAGATGCTTCCTAAGTTATCTGTACCCATACACACACACACCCATCTGCATTGTCTTGTCCTTCCTCATTTACTCAGCTCCAGTCACTGTTCTGGGTCCTGGGGAACCTGGGAGAACAGGAGAGGCCAAAGCCCTTTCTTTTGTGGTGCTTGTTCTAGTTCGGAGTCGGGTACTTAACAGTATAATATGCCAGGCAATGGCAGGGCTATGAGGGAAAGCAAAGTATAAGGGACGAGGCATTGGTAGAGCGTGCTATTTCAGATGAAGTGATCAGGGAAGCCCTCTAGGAGGTGACTTGAGCAGAGAACCCAGAGGAAATACAGGGTGAGCCTGCCAAGAGAATACAACATGGCGGAAGAGCATGCTTGGTTCCTTTGGGAAAAGCAAGGGGGCTTTGTAGCTGGAGGTGGCACAGGCAGAGTGGGGAGGGAGAGAGAGCAAGGATTAAACGATAGCATCCTCCAGGGCTGTGACTGAGCCTCGGGAGTTTGAGTGGGTGGGACAGCGCTGGAGGGCTTGGGGAAGTGCAGTGGCATCCAATTTTAGAAGGTTTGTTCTGGTGTAGCAGGTAAAGCCGGCGCCTGCAACACCAGCATCCCATATGGGTGCTGGTCCGTGTGCCTGCTGCTCCACGTCCGATCCAACTCCCTGTTAATGGCCTGGGAAAGCAGTGGAAGATGGCCCAAGTGCTTGGGCCCCTGCATCCATGTGGGAGACCAAGATGAAGCTCCTGGTTCCTAGCTTGGGCCTGGCTCAGCCCTGGCTGTTGTGGCCATTTGGAGGGTGATCAGGTGTATGAAAGATTTCTCTCTCTCTTCGTAACTCTAAATAAATAAATCTTTAAATATATGATATAATTATATATAACCTTTATAATTATATATATAATCTTTAAATTTTATATATGTACACACACACATACACACAAGTACGTGTACAGGTAGAAGATTCACATTGGCTGCTCTGTTTCGAAGACGGTGAGGAGGCAGGAGTGAAACAGGGCAATAAGTTAGGAGATGATGGGAGCACCCCAGGTGGAAGGCTGTGGCTCGGGCCGGGATGACGGGGCTGGCACTTGCAGCACATCTCACAAGAGAGCATGTGCACAGGCCGTCTCTCTGGAATAGAGAATTCTGCACGCTAGATGGCCCGCTGCCCTGGCCAGCAGAGTCTTGCAGGCTCCTTTGTCAGCTGTGCCCTCCACCTGCAGGCTATGAATTGGGCTGCCCCCATGCCTGGGCAGGGATGAAAGGTACAGCACTACCCCTGCGTGGGAAGACTCAGCCTGTCACTGCAGAACCTGGGAGGAGGGCCATGCTTCTCTCTACACAAGGGAAAGCAGAGCCTGCAGCATCAATCCCAGGGCACAAGGGTGCAAGGGCTTCAACCTTTCGAAGGCAGACCTTTCACAGCCTCCCCCTCCTGTGGCCGGTGGAGCCCCTGCAGGAGCACACCTGGCAGGGTCGTGCTGCTGTGGGCTTCTGCACCAGCTCATCGTGGATGCTCTCTGGAGCCGCATTTTCTAGGGACGGCCATGTTTTTCAATGTGATAGCTTTGCAGGGATCTAGTATTTTCGATCCAAATGCTTTCTATTTCCCTTCACCCACCTGCTCCCTAAAGGCACTGGACAATGATCAAAACTACTTCGCCTACAGAATTTTAAAATCCTGGTATTTCTGAGTTCAAAGAGACCCAAGGGTAGCGAGTTGGAGACTTGTCTGATAGAGGAGGTACAGTTCCCAGAGGAGAACGCAGAAAATAACTGTGTAAAGTGTCCCAGGAAGGACACCTCTTCAGCAGACAGAGCCTCAAGTTGTCCCCGCAGCAACCGCGCTCCCCTAATCACCGTAGGAATTCAACAACAGCTTGTGAACCTTTCATTCAGCAATCAGAACAGGATTCTGTTTTGGCAAACAAGACCTAAACCTGGAGGACAGGAGAGGATTTTTCCAACGTGTTAAGAAATGAGGTGAGCCCCTGACCTACAGCCATGCGTGTCACAGACCAGAACCCAAGCAGGAACACACAGCCTGCGGGCCCGCGTTCAGAAAAGGAAGCCAACCTCGTGTATCTCAGCATCGGATAAGCTCCAGGAAGAGCTATGCTGAGAGTCGGGACTACGTGCCACGCAGCAGGCACCGTGTTCCCAGCCCTCTGAGGTCTGTCTCCATTCCCAGACTGATAAGATTCCAGGGGGCGCATTAACATTGCCACTTCACCAGCACGCAGTGTACCAGCTTGTATGCACTCTAGTTCTCCAACTAAGCCAGGAAACTGGCAGTGGAAAAACATGATTCCAAACCAAAACTAACCGTAGCTTCCTTTGCCCTGCAGCAGGGCTGGGAGTGTCCCCTAGGGAGTAAGATTTCTGTTTGGCGATGAAGGAAGGAACATCTTTGGATGTGGCAAAGGAGATGGTGAGCCAAGTTTGGGGAGGGGCTGTGGATGGCTGACGGAGTGTGCATCTATGAGGAAAGCAACCAGGTCACAGTAGGGGAGGGGAGTGTCGGTGAAGCAGCGAGGGACAGGAGAGCGCAACTCCGGGCTGTGCCGTCCAAGTTTGGGGTTCATGGTGGCCACAACAGGAACAGCTGTGGACGGCTGACATTTCCTGTACTGTAAACCCCTTCAACCTCCCCGAATTTTCAGTAAAAGCCTGTGGCACACGCCACCAACTTTAATAAAGATCAACAAAAGGAGCCCTAGAGAGGACTGGCCCAGCAGCAGGTGCAAGCAGCTCAG